AGCGCTAAATGTCATTTTATTTGAAAATAGAATGTGTCAAGGTAACTAGAAAATGGTGCTCAAAAATATTGATTTTTTAATAACATAATTTTAAGCACCAGCTTATCCTTGAACTAATGTGGACAGTGAAATGAAAAGTACATACATACATACATGAATTTAGCATGGTGAAAATGATGTTAACAACAACAACGAAGTAGCGCGTGTTGAAGAAAAATGTGTACATTAAATTTTATAAGAGTGGGTGTGTTGAAAAGTAACTTCATACAGTGGGGGGCAGTGATGAGTACATGGTGATTTTTGTTAAATATTTGCAAGTTTTTAATGTTAATTTTTTTGTTGTTATTTTTCATAAAAGCATGGTTCATTCAAAACCATTTAAATCAAAGTTTCAAACTTAATACAGAGCTTAGAAAAATTTAACAAAATCATCAATCATTAAAAATTTGAGCTTTTTTTAATCTGATTGTTTTTTTTTTGAGTATGCAAAATTGCGTTGATTAAAAAAACCACAACGACAATTTTTATATATTGCACTTGTTATATGAAAAAACCCACAAAAGCCGTCAGTAAATAAAAGATATATTAAAAATCAGCGCGATTTTGCAGCCCGTTGAAACTTGCACTTTATTATACTAAAATTTATTGGCCTACCATACTGCATACTAAAAAAAAAAATTCTAAAAAAGCTCAGAATGTTAACGAAAATTTGTTAAATTTTTCTAAGGTTGTATAAAGTTTGAAAGTTTCGTTTATGCGGTTTGGTTAAAGCATGAACCATAGTTTTATGAAAAATAAGAAGAAATTTTATCTTTAAAAATCTTTAAAATATTAAAAAAAATCGCCATGTACTCATCACTGCTTTCCACTGTAGGTACGAGGTAATTGTTAAAGAAATTGAATCTGAGACCATACCAGAAAAGCGGGCGCTAGCCTTATTTGAGAGATTCACGAAAAATCAACGGGTTACAAAGTATTTACTAAGCGACCATTTTCGAAATTGCGGCAAAAAAAATGAAATAGTTAAAAAAAAATGTATTTTCGGAAGACATACCAGTAACTGACTAGTTGCAAAGTAGTTGTTATGCGACTAGTTGACGCATAGTGCATTTAAATGGTTAGTACACAAAAAAGCATCGTTTTCAAAGATAATATAACATAAATTAAGCCGCTTGGTTTTCCTATTCATCTCTGCCTACACATATGATTTATTCTGTACAACTTTCAATTTATATTAAAGTATTTCAAAAGCTCCCGTTAATAGCTCATTTCCCCCAGTTTACCTCACACAATAAGAAATCTCAAATTTGTTAGCCGCATTGCATAATGTAATAATTATATTAATTGCTTCAACACTTCTTACTTATTCCTTTTTTTTTCCTAAATCTCGACAACGCCTAACAATTATCTTTTGTTTCAAATGCCGTACATTTTTTTTTTTAGTTTTATAAATTTTCTTTTTCTTTCTGCTTCTATTATATTTTTCCCGTTTTGTTGCTCCACGTCCGTCCGTTTGTTACCGCTTAATAGCCTGCCATTAACTCATTAAAACCCGGTCAAGTCAGCATTGCTTTGTGGCTTTAGTTTGCTTTGTTGTGGCTCAACAGAGATTTACTTGAAAAGCAAGATTATGAAATGAAATGTGTGGCAACAAAAAAAAAATAAAATTGTCGCATTTGTATAACTTAGCAGTTTTTTTGTCTTGCGCAGGAAACGTTTGACATTATTACGCAATGCGCATATAAATGGGCTTTATAAGAAAAGCAATAGAACAATCTACCAGCGAAACAGAAAATTAGCGCAAAGCTCGAGAGATTTTTAACGGTAAAATATTAAGAATAAAAAAGCTCTTTCCAAAGCAATCATTTGAGACTGTTAACTGGCTAGACTTTAACAGGCAAGCAAAAAAGCCATGATATCTCAGCTTACTCCTCTACCTCAATATGGAATTTAACGTGAAAAGAAAATACAAAACTAAAACAGCAAAAGTTGGCAATTTCTCTCAAATCCAGTCCGTGGAATTGAAGAACCTAAGAAGTTGCAGTGAGTTAATATCGCTTAGGTATGTCTGTTAGATTTGCGCAGTGGTCCACAGACTCCTGCAGGCAGACCCTACAGGATGCTAGGTCTCTAGAACCTCCTATGCCACTGAAACATCAAGAGCCGAACCGGTTCTGGCTATCAGGTAAGCGCGTTGATCACCAACTTGCCAAATTCGACAGTCGAATAGAACCTTCGATTTGGAGGTCAGTTGATAAAATACCCCCAATATCTCTTTATAATTGTGACCGGTAGTATTAGGGCTGTCCTACCCTTAAGCAGCCCAAAAATTTTCCACCACGATGTATGCGAATGTCTACGAGTTTGATACTCCTTAGGTCTGGGGTTCGCTACCTGTATAATTGTTATCTTAAGCTCATAGTGGGAACGCTATCGGCATTTTTTCTGGTGGCGGAAAAGTAAAAACATTCTAACGAGTTTTGGCTATTTTTCTTTTGCTTCTTCAGAGTTTGTTTTTTAACCGACTTAAAAAAATGAGGAGGTTCTCAATTCGTCGTTATGCTTCTATAACTATTATTATTTTTTTTCAAGGAAAGGTGGTACCTCAGAGGTGGCCCCTTACTAATTTGGTTTAGATCCGATTAATCGATCACGAAGAAATTAACGGTATTCTTACTTTGTACAAGAATTAGTAAAATTCCGCAAAGTTTTATAAAAATTTCAAATTTCTTAGTCAGAATTAAATAAAATTTTTTGTATGTAGTTTTGTTGCCCATTGAATTTCTGTGCAAGTGCAAATGCTGAAAAATAGCGTTGATTTTTTTTTAATTTTTTTTTTGCAGACGGTATTACTATTTTTTTCCTTAAAAGAAAAATCAGACATACTTTGTAAATTTATCTTTCCAAAAGTTTTTCATATGTACACATTTCCACGTGAAATAAAATTTTCTTGAAACTATTTCTGCATACTCGTATAAGAAAAACCATAAATTAAACACGAAATTGCCTTAGAAATATTTGGTATTTTGAAAAGTCTCCGCGGATTTTCGGCTTAATTTAAAAAAAAAAATCTTAGCAGCAACTCAATTTTAATAAAGTATATACTGACCATTTTTATCTATGACCTTTTGAAATTTTTCGGGTAGCATCATAATTCCATGGTGTAGAACTTCAGTCGTTTATCGGGGAAAAACTCGGCAAAGTGATTTTCCACAGCTCTTGGGTCGGTCAATTGTTTACCACCAGAGAGTTTTTCACAGACCGAAAAAAATGGATGTTAAAAGTTCCGGGTTATTGCTCTTTTTTTCTACATATGTATGTATAGTGAAAAAATATAGCCCCTTTTTCAAAAATCAAAAAATATTTAGAGTACGCTCAAATCACTCAAAGTTTTCCATGTATTTTATAGAATTCTTGAAAATCAACATTTTTCGATCAGAAAACTCCGTTTCTCTTCAGGAGACTTCCAACAATAATATCCAGTTGTACACTTAACAATTTTGTTATATTTACAATTTTTTCTACTCCCTCACATTGCATTTTTTGGGGTTTTTGGGGGACCTGTAAAAATAGTTAATATTAAAAAATGGTTAAATGAACAAATAGGTATTATTATTTGAAGTCTCCTTTAGAGAAACATATCGAAAAATATAAATTTTTAAGAATTCTAAACCATTTCGATGGATTTATTTATTTATTTTTTTCATATAAAATACATGGAAAACATTGAGCGCATTTGGCGACCTATAAATATTTTTTAATAAAAAAAAACAAACCGGGTATATTTTTTCGGTATAGAGTAATCATTGGGGTTGAGAGCATTAAAATTCCAACTTTACTTCTTCTGGACCCCCCTATTCCACGCTTATGGACGAAAAAATGGTGCAGAATTCAAAATCATATTTTTTGCAAATTTTCTTGATTTATTTTTAATAATTTTCATTTAAAATATAGTTCGATCCATGACAGAAACCTCATTAATAAAAGTCTTAACGCTTACACAAAGTTCCCAAAAACGAATCGAACTTGAAAAAATTTGCATCAAAATTTCAAACTTTTTATTCAGAATTTCTAGAAAATTTTCGAGTAGCAGCTTTTAATAACATAATGCAAATTTTAAAAATTATAAAGTGGCGGAGCCTATCCCCTCTTTTGAAGATCCTCGTTGGTACAAGACTTCTCTATCGGCCATATTATGAATAAAAATCTTATTTAGGAAAGTATTACGAGATTGGAGTTGGGAGTTGGGAGTTGGGGTTCTATGCATAACATAAAAACGGTTTATTGATTTAATAAAGAATTTATGTACACGAGTTAGAAAATTTTGTATCGAGCAAAACGCAAACACTAAGAGGGTACCGCGGTAGCAGCTAAACATTGATTTATTTTTTTTTGTTTACCATCAGCATGGGATTCCTGGGCCGTACATTTGTTCTGCCATTATTGTATGCATATTGTGTGGCTCCTTTTAAGCAGCTCTCCTGAATTTTCTGACCTCTTTTGTTACCGTGTTGGCTTTCAGTTTGGCTATTGATATTCGTCGAGAATTGAAGAGCTGACGAAGCTCATCGCGTTCGGGCCACTTCTAGCTACTGTAACTTCTGGAAAATTCAGAATAGTATAAGCCCTTAATATACATATGTATATATGCTGGTATGCATACAAATTTACCCATTTAGTTCTTTTCCCATGCGCCTTTTGTTAAAAAAAAAGTATTCATTTGGCGGTTTGCTTTAAATTAACGTCGTGCAGTTTCCATATTATGCATTTCACTCGTCTTTGCTACATAGTTTCTACCGTGCGGTTCAGCGTTTTTGTGCATTTAAAATATTCAAAAAAAAAAGTGTAATATGCACCTAAAATATTTTTCATCTTCCGTATACAAATATTTGCTCCAAATATTTTGCAACAATTTTTAATATTATAGCTATACTCGTACATTGTTTGCCTATATGTACTCACATATTGTTTTTTCTCTTTCTTCATTCTTCTTCTTACAGGCGGTCGTACAACAGAGCCAGCAACAGGCTTTACTCAACAAATCCAATGATGATCTGCGACGGAAACGCCCGGAAACTACGCGGCCAAATCACATTCTACTCTTCACCATCATAAATCCATTCTATCCCATCACAGTGGTAAGTGCACGTGTACTCACACGCAGTGACATTTTGTTTTGTTATGTTTTCGCGCACTCTATGTGAGTGAGCCATTAGTGCCGGTGATATCTGAAGCTTTCCGCAGGCTTACGTAGTATATTTTTGTATAAATGTATATGTAGGTGCACTTCACTGTAAGCGCATTTTTAGCCTCGTTAGAGCCGCCTTTTAGCCAAGTTACGTGGAGTGTTCCAGTGGAGAAGGAAAATAAAGCTAGACTATATGTTTTCTATCCGATGCGGGGAGAGTGGAAGCGCGCAAAAAGAATATAGGGCTATTCGCGATTCGGTGCATAAGAGCTGACAAATTTATGCAATTGCAGAAATATGCCATGAATTGTGAGCGACCTTTATTAAACTGTCATGGTAAAGCTTTTGCAAAACAATTTTTGTGCATCAGCTTTGGTTTTGTTTATGAATGCAATGCATAGCATTTTTATGCTATGGATTTTAGGTATTGCAAATTTGTCAAGCCATGGCAAATGCAAATGCGTGTATTTTGTTTGTGTATTGCAAATAATTTGCAATACAAATTTGCATTGCAATGATGCTAGGCCATTTGCACCGGATCGCGAATAGCCCTTATGTGTAGGAAAATGCAAAATAAACGGCGAAGTGCAGCGCTGAGTGGCGCCTAAGTGTGCAACAACCAGCCGCGCCCGTTGAGCGTGCAACAACCAGCCGCGCCCGTTGAGCGTGCAACAACCTCGCAGGCGGTATTGAGGAAGCTGATGTGGCTAGAAAAAACCCAGTTTAGCCGACGGCAGCATGTTGATGTTGAATTCCTCATGAGTTGGTGGTAGAAGTGGAAAATGTAGTGAAGACATTTCAGTGTAAAATGTCGCTTTTTTTATGAATACATATAGTTACTCCTAAAATTGAGCGTACGACCCTTTTTTGTTAATTTGTTAGCAATTAAAGTGAATTTTGAATTTTTTTAAAGTTACGACTTTTTGCATTTCAGTGACGATGATGATACGTTATTTTGCATTTCAGGTGATATGCTATTACAACAAATCAAATTGATCGACCAAGTTTTTAATAGCGGTATTGATGGACTTCACGGTTGTGAAGCTAAAAACCGACAAAACCTAAACTAAAATTAGTTCATGGATGTTAAGTTAATTTACTCCAGAGTCCCAGATAATACCCATTTAAAATCAGACTCTTTTCGTGATATCCCTTTTTTTAAACTACTCGGTGGCAATCGGAAAAATATGGACACGTTACTGATACCTAATGGCCGGAGATCATCTAGAAAAGAGGTGCCCAGCCAATATAGCAATTTAATTACAACAATGTTGTTCTCGGAATATCAAAAAATACTACGACCCAAAACTGTTTTGGTAGATACTAAATTAAAAACAAGGCTATAATATAAATCTACACCTGAGCAAATGCGAGCCATGCAAGGCAGCACTGATTGCATAGCGATCGATTTGTATACCGCTTTTTATCACTGAGTCAATGCTTGCTGTGATTATTTTACTTGTTGTGTAAGTGAGCCAAAGCCAGGCACAGTGCTGTTGTTGTGAGCCAATTGAGGTGCTGGTTGCGCACCCCTGATCTAGATTAGGGAAGAAATTACTGGCTACGAGCTTTTACTCTACGTTTAGCTAGTATCGGGTATTGAAAAAAAAATGTTGGATGCTCAACTCCTCAACAAAGTTCAAATAGGCAGTAGCCTTTTTAAGTAGCGCCTAGTCTAGGTGCGCATGAATATTTCACAGTAAGAATCGCAGTGGTTTGGCATTGAACGCTTTCTTGATGTTTACTTTTTTCTCTAGCCTTTGGTCGCTTTACATCTCCTTAATGCCTTTGACATTACTTTTAAACAGAGATTATATTCTAATTCTGCATTTTTTCCTAGACAAAACAAAGCTCATGTTCACAAATACCCAAAAAATACCCAAAAATCAGGAAATTAAAAAAGGTAAAAAGTCCTGAACGTTTCTGAAGAAAAAAATAAAAAGATATAAAATTAATTTTAAAAGAATTAAAAAAAAAAAACAAAAGACTAAAAATAAGCACTTTTTATTTAGTTCTTTTTTGATTAGTATTTTTTTTTGATAATTTTTTTTTTGTTTGAATTTTTTTTGGGGATTTTTTTTTTGAAAGGTGTAGGAGTTTTTGTCTTTCCATGTTTATTTTGCTATTACTGCCTAAAAAAGCACAAAATAATCAGTATTTCTTGCTCTAAATAACACAAGTCAAATTTTTATAAGTTATTAGAAAATCATATTCCACAAAGCGAAAGGATTCTAATTAGTTACTTATTTGCATTTCCTGATCCATCCTTGAGCCTTTCGTCGATAGTGGCCTAGTAGCAATTTTTCGCCACGCTCAAGTATTATTAAAATCATGAATTCTTGGTAACCAACCAAACAATAAGAAAAAATAAAAAAGTAAGCAGTGCAAAAATGAGTGACGACCTGTCGGTCTACATTGCTGCGTGTATAGCGAATCGCATATCAACAACAGATGCATTAAGAAAGCAAAATATCCATGATTGGTGCGACAAGAGTATCTTCCACATTCTGCTACGTCTATCATTCATCCGGCTTTCATTTTTAAAGCAGCTTAAAGCGACTTAACAATGTTGAAAAAAGAAAATCGTATACTTACTCGGTCAACATTCGGATGAATTTTTGTAAACGAAGCATACACGCGCAAGCACATGTGAGATGATAAAAATATAGAGATACATACATATAAACCAACAGAAAAAGGACATCAGCAGCGGGCGAAACACAGAAGAAAGCTATGGTTTTATAAAAGGAGAGTAGAAATAAACCGCGATAGAAACGGCTTAGTAGGTATGTACATGCCTCATAACAACAGCAGCTATGGACGTGCAGGACATGTCGGTGTAACCACAGCAACAGCAACATACAGCACAACTGCATCAACAGCAATAATCACAACAACAATGTCCAGCAAACATCGAAGAAATCCACGCGCAATGCTGTTACGAGAGAGTTTCCATTGAACGACCGTTGGACGTTCATTTTGTAGGGATTCCAGAGTTTTATTTACACGCATACCTACACACACGCACACATTTTCTAAGTATGGAGATATTTGTGCATTGAATTTTTCATAACTGCACAACAGATTCGCTCAGACACAATGGCACTACCGGGATGAATACATTGCATCACACGCTTTGTGCGCTCCGCTATACATGACCGTTATGCATATCAATTTATTTATGTGCTCCTCCTTGTACATGCATATGATTTTTTATAGCCTTGCATGAAGCGGTGTGAGTGTTTGTGCTTGCATGTTTGCGCTCGCTGCCAATGATGTGCACACATTTGAACAGCAAATCAAGATAGCCAATATTGCAGCGTATCAACAATGGGCCATTGGTGCTTTAGGGGGTTGCTGGATGGTGGCAGCACGGATTCAGATTAGAATTCATTGCACACTGATCGTGGTGGTGGTCAGCGAAAAAAAAAAACTTGCTAGAGATGTTTAAAATTTAATTTTCTATTGATTCTTTTGACGCTTGACTCTTAAAATTGGACGTGTGGCATGTTGGCTTTCAGTGATTTGGAGAATTTTCCTCTGAGAATGCTTGAGTTAAAATTTGATGTATACATATATATTTTTTTGCTATTAGAAGTGGTGTAACAGGGCGTATGAGTAATATTTTTGAGTGGAGCTTCTAGCAAAATGCATTTGCATTAAGAATTAAAGCTTTATAAGTGTATTTGTATCCAACTTGGCACAAAGATAGTTTAGAACCGAAATTAACATATCGCTGGCTTGGAGTGAAAAATTGCTAAGTTCGTTTTTACGAATTTTATAGCAAGGAAAAACATAGTGCATACGAATCAGAAGTGTTCGATGTTAATTATAAAATCGCGGTATTATTTTGACCTTATCGAATTTCCTTTGCCTTTTCTGGACTTAAAAACTTTGCATTCCACTGAAAAGAATTGAATCGGCAAGGAGTAAAACCAAGATCCTAAATCCTTTTGAGAACGATGCATTTTTGATTACTCTTTCCTTCAATGCATGTACATATTTCAAAATATGAGTTTTCACTATGAGTGGACTTAGCAACTTTTCACTCTAAGCCAGCGATATAGGATATTTTTTGAAGAGGGTTGCCACCTGCTTAAAAAGTAAAGTTTAAATTAAATAATAACTTTATTAAAATTTTACAACATGGATGCTGAACGCACGAGCTTTCAAAACACTTTATTTCCAAAACGCTTTTTAAAAGTTAAATTTTAATAATATGTTAAATGAAGTATTACAATATGGGTGGCAAACAAAAGAGGGCTAAGAAAGTTTTATTTTGAAAATATTTTGGAGAGGGTTACCACCTGTTTAAAAGTCATGTTCAATCGTTTAGTAAGCTAAATAAAGTATGTATTACAATGTGAATGTCAAACGAAACACTCATGCTTACGAAATATTTATTCCTAGAGTAGTTACGAAGAGGATTGCCACCTTTCTAGAAGCCAAATTCGATTTACATAATTAATACGTAATTAAGTTGAATAAAATAATACTGAAATATTCCAGCATGCATATCAAACGAAAGTTGTTTAAGAAAGCTTTATTTATAAAATATTTTTAAAGGGGTTGCCATCTGTTTAAAAGTTTAATGAACCTGAGCATATGTAGAAAATGGGCAGGAAGTAGCAGATATTCTCACCAGAAAATGTGCTGCAGAGGGATTCATAGGACCAGGATCCTTTATTGGCCAGCCATGGAGCTCCATACGTGACCCGAACAATTTAAAAGTCCACGATGTGTAGGGCGTAAGAAAGATATCGGCAAGATATCTGTGTAAACCCTTCGGAATAGATACTAGATATTCAATGTTTTTGTTAGTCCACAAGTTTTTTTCGACATTTCACAAAACATAGATAACATCGGATACCAAGCAGAAATCCAAAGAAAACCCAATCACTGACGAATTTCATACCAAATTATTGGACAGCGCCATTTTCTGCATTAAAA